CGCTGAAGAAAACATCAAGGCTCAACAAAGATGCAAGAAAGATATGGCCTCTACATGGCTGCAATTACCAGACACAGACACTTCAAGATTCACAGACTTCCTCAACAATGAACAATCACCAAACAAGCAACAGAGGCCGCCTGTTCAACAGAGGGTGGTGGTTTCAGAGGAAGGGGCAGAGATACATGGTAAATGGTTGTATTTATATAGCGACGAAAAACAAAAAAAAATGTTTTTCAGACAGTGAATATTGTAGCGGTAAGAGAGAGGTGGGAGCGACTCATTCCTGCAATCTATCATCACGTCAATCAGAACAATAATATTAATGATAATAATAATAGTAATGATCATTATGATGTGTCTTTAGAAGTGAGATAAAACGGGTAACTGATTCTGCAAGTCTATTCTCCGATCCAATCTCAGATAAAAGGAGAGAGATATTTTTCAACATTATTGTGTTCTCTTTCTAGAAAACTTTCTCCAGGTGCAGACTGAGGGACGTACTGGAGTGGAGGAGCACCCCACAGGCAGGATCTTGGACTACCTGTTCAACCAACCTTAGTATGTGAGGACCCAGGGACTGTGTGCAAGACAAAGCTGTCTGCAGCAGGGGGCCCTGCAGGGAACGGTTGTGGCGGACTACTGTCACAACGCACCCTTCTGTCTCTGATGACTGTGCAATCGTCAGCCTCATCATAGATGAGGGCGTCAGGACTTGGACGTCGTGGACTGGCGCCAGAGGCCTCCGGACGCTAAGTGGATTAAAACCGCCTGAGTTATCACTGCGAAAGACGGATTTCACAACACCCGCTCACTACTGGGCCAAAATCTCAGGGTTGGACCTTTAATCAGAACAAAAGCAATAGGGTTCCAGCAGCTTGTGTATCAAAGAAAACTGTTCCAACCATTAGATAAAGAATATTGTGCTGATGCTGTTAAGTTCTTTGGACTGTACACATATGGCAAAATACAAAATTCCAAACCAACTTAAGTTGCCACATAGCTCTAAAATACGACGACCCATTTCTCTGCATGTTTCCGTGGCTTCTCTCCCCTGGCGTGCGGGCCCTCCTTCTCTTCTCACATTGTTTGCACAAGTGAAGATGTGAATTAAAGACATGGGATGGAGAACGTGCCCGTGGCTGTAATTCGTGTGCATCCATCACTGGTGCACCGCCACTGGTCAAATGGGGGGACTGCTGCCCTCTTGTGGCCTGCTGGGGTTATCACCGTTTGTTTTGCTATCTAACCATATTGCAGCAGCCGAAGTGAATCACCGTGCTTCATTCGTGTTGCTGTGGGACAATTCAACACTGATGCATAGGGATGTTGATGCACTGCAAGATGTTTATAAGACATCCACTTTAAAATGTACAACCCCACTTTTAAAAACGGCGGAAACACCGCTAAATAGGCATCAAGCTGCGATGGCCGAGTGGTTAAGGCGTTGGACTTGAAATCCAATGGGATCTTCCCGCGCAGGTTCGAACCCTGCTCGCAGCGTTTTGACTCCTGTTGTTCTGAGATCAACATTTTTCATTTTGTTTAAATGAGTCTCGTAAACTCTGGAATCATACAAACACTGAGTTACTTCATGTACTGATAACTAGTGACTTTATTAGTTAAAGTGAGAGCAGGTCAGTATAGAGGACCAGCAATGACTTAAGGATAAATAAATAAATGTACAAATAAATGTGGAAATAGATAAATAAATGTCTTAATTTTATTTCCACATTCATTTATTTCCACATTTATTTATTTCTATCATATGCAAATGAGTAAGGGCGGTCCTAACCTGTGGAAACAGTGACACACAGAGTTTCTCAGGTCAAAGCTGCTTCATGATCAGAGCTGAAGATGCAGTTGGTTTGTATCGAGCCGGAGTTTCTGTTTCCTCCTCCTCTCTGAGCTGCTCTCACTGTAACTAACTCTCACGCAGACATGATCAGACCCCATGGATTAATAACTCAACACGTGATCGTGTGTTTGTTGCTAAATCATCTCAATAAAAGATGAACACTTAACTCGTTGTTTTCAAGTGTGAACTGACACAACACTGCAAACAGCAACTACTGAAGGCAGAAGTAGCAGAACTGGATCATCACACTCAGTGTGACCAATCCTGCATGAGACTGAAGTTAGGACCGCCCTTACTCATTTGCATATGACACAGAAATACAGAAATGTAGAAATAAATAAATGTGGAAATAAAATTAAGACATTTATATCTACATTTATTTATTTATACTTACCGTATGTCATTTCTCATTATCCATATGATATTGTCAGACAGAATAGAAGAAGAAGAATAAAAAGAAGAAGTAGTGTCAGTGTTGAATTGTAAAAGCTACATAGTGTGACGTAGTCAGAGAGTAGAAGAAGAACTCGGTGACAGTACAAAAGGCACCGCTGGGATTCGAACCCAGGATCTCCTGTTTACTAGACAGGCGCTTTAACCAACTAAGCCACGGCGCCGTGTGGCACACGATCGAGATTATAGAGTATAGATTTCTTACTGAACTCTAACGACGTTGAAGTACATTGAAGTATTAAATTTGTATTAAATTAATGACAATCATTTTAAGCATGGTCAGAAAACAGATTGGCACAGAGGAGAGGAAAGACACCGGTTGGGCATGTGGAAAACATCCAAACACGAGGGAGAGAGAGATCTTTCAGCTGAGAAGGGAAATCAAGATTCTCAAAAGACAGTATGAAAGAGCAAGTGCTGATGACAAGAAGGATCATCAGAGATCTGACCAGTGGATTCCAGGGGGAGATTAAGGAGGGCAGACAGAGAATGCTATTGCTATTGAGTTCTTCCTGGTCTACCACATGGGCCTGGTGTGCTCTGCCCTCTGGCCTTCCACACAAACTCACTCCTATGTGACTGACCTACTGATTGCTACACATTCCATTGCTTGTAGTATGTTTTCTTAAAATAAATTTAGGGTGCTCTGAATAAAAAAAAATAGAATTTAAAATTCTCCTCCTCACCTGCAAGAACCAACATACCTTAAAGACCTCACAGTACCATATCACCCCACTAGAGAACTGCCCTCCAACAATTCAGGCATATATGTTGGGTGAAGACAAAATGTGTAAAGTTTGTGAAACACTGTCTACAACTAATCCATACAATCAAAGTTAATTGTGACTCATTCTTCAAATGTAAAAAACAGCACATACTACTCCTGTGGTGTCATCCAAGTGTCTGTAAGCCCTGACATTTAAATTTTATTCAGTGTTTATTTGCATATAGGGCATGGAATAGAAATTATATCATAATTGGTCACTTGGATCACCCAAGACTTGTGTTAATCATGTTAATCAGGCGTGAACAGGGCTATAGACCCTGTAATTGGTATCGGTCGATACTACTTAAAATGATCACCCCCCAAAAATCCTGAGCAGTCGCAGATACTGTCTGCTCGTCCTCATTGTCTCATTGTCCTCAGTAAAAAAAAAATAAATAGCAACAAGAATATTAATCCGGATGAACTGCTGTATTTGCATAATCTGTGTTTAACACCACAGTCAAATACACAGTTGAAGTCCTGCAGACCTTGAACACATATTTATAATTAACATCCAGTTACTCTGCGATAATGTCATGTTTTTGTGTTTCTTGTGATTTATATTAGGAAAGAACATCACAGAAGGACACGTGAGGATTGCAGTATGCAAAGAGTTAGTCAATCTCTCACGTCAAAACCAGTTCAGTCTGTTGATGAGGAGCTAATTTTGTCACACATGATGCTTTGTGTCACAGAGGTGTTGATTCAAAAGTCTAGTCCCCACACTCTGAAGAAGACTATAAAATACAGTCGTATATTCTAGAGACATTAGTTGTGGATGTTGTCCGCACTAAGGCCTCCACGAAGAAATGAATATTGGAAGAATCAAACAAATTTTCTCTGTGCTATTATACAAATGCACATCTGAGTTGCTTGAGGTGCCTGGGATTTAAGATTTTCATTGTCAACATGTACGCTGTATCTGTTGTGCAGATGACAAATAAAACCTTTGAACCTTTGAATCTGTATCTGAGAGTGGCTGTCTGTCATCACACATGCAGACTGAAGTTATATTTATTAGGACCTTCAGTGACCACAATAAGAGTTGTCAGAATATGTTTATCGTAGAACATGTGTCAAAGAAGAACACACACATCACGCATACACACAATGACATATTTTCCCCAGTGTGTAACTTTCAATCTGATGGCCTGAGCTACTTCCTGTTACGAGTCAGCCTAAACACCAGGCCACAGCTTCCTGCATTCCAACCACATATGGTCTCTATTAATGGAACACTCTCTGTTTGGAATGAACACTACATTCATTTTCTATAAATACTGTCAATGTCTACACCGGAATGAAACAGTCATGACCAGCACCATACACATGTAGCCAAAATATTTTGATCAAGGCTACTGAATTTTGGGCATGCTGAACATAGGGCTGTCATCATATAAGCAGAACTTGACAGGACTGGTACAAAACCTGTCCACAGCCTCTCACCGAAGCAGATTGACGCCAACACTCCTCTTTACATGTGATGTAACAAAAAAAAAGGATATTTAAAACAGCCTTATGTAAGAACAATGTGACTCAGATTGATACAAACCTATAAATCTGTCAAACATTCATTAAAATTGCTTCACTAATTTCAGTCCAGGCTTGTTGTGACTTAATTATGCATCGTGCAGCTACATAAAATGAAGTAATACAGAGAGTGAAGGAAAAACACAGATATAGTGCTAGAATGTAAGTGCCAAAGTGCAACGAAATATATATATATATATATCCCTTCTTTTCTTCTTATTTTGGGGGGGTTATTTAGACCTCATTTTCACTGAGGTGTAGTCGGAAGAGATGTGTCTTTAGTCTGCGGCGTAAGATATGAAGACTTTCTGCTGTCCTGGTGTCAATGGGGAGCTCGTTCCACCATTTAGGAGCCAGGACAGCGAAAAGTTGTGATTTTGTTTGGTGGTTTGCTCGCAGTGAGGGAGCAGTAAGCCGATTGGAAGATGCAGAGCGGAGTGGACAGGCTGCGGAGTATGGCTTGACCATTTCCTGGATGTAGACTGAACCCGATCCGTTCACAGCACGGTACGCAAGTACTAGTGTTTTGAAACGGATGCGGCCAGCCACTGGTAAACTGTGAAGGGAACGGAGTAGTGTGAGGGAATTTGGGTAAGTTGAAGACCAAGCTGCTGCACTCTGGATGAGCTGCTGCGGTCGGATAGCAGTAGTGTGTAGACCAGCATGGAGGGAGCTGCAGTAGTCTAGGCGTGAGATGACCAGAGCCTGGACCAGAACCTGTGCCGCCTTCTGAGTGAGAAGGGGACGTATTCTCCGGATGTTGTGCAGCATGTATCTACACGAGTGGGTTTTTGCAATAATGTTGGCGGGAAGGGAGAGTTGGCTGTCGAGTGGCACACCCAGGAGTGATCAGTGTGGTCTGGTCATGGGTGGGAGCGACTTTCCCTGGAATGAAAAGTAGTTCGGTCTTGTCAAGTTTAACTTTCAAGTATTGAGAAATTTTTCTTTGGTAGACCAGGTGAATGCTGCAGATATGAAAATGGGTTTCGCTGCTGCACATACTTTTTTCACATGTTTTCTTTTCCTTTTCAATGTGCTGCTCAGAGGGGGAGGAAGTGGTGAAAAGTCAGAAGCATGTGTCACAGAGGGGTGCTCCTCAACAAAAGTACTGCATGGGAAAAATGACTAATACTTATAATACAAGGACCCTTCGAAAATCAGTCAACTCAGTTTTTCCACAACTGCCTGTGCAGTTGAGTAAGGGTGGTATGGGCTGGGCTATGTTAACACACTCTATAACCAGAATGATGGCTAAACAGGAACTGGGCACCATTTATTAGATATAATCCCCTTTCTCTCTCTCTGTTAATGTTGCTTTCAACATTCAACTCACTTTACGAGAAGTTTGCAGGTTTCTTGGAGTCCAACTGTGAAGCTAATGGAAGAATGTGCTCAGGGTTAAGGCTTGACTTGTACTGAGAGCCCCGGAGGACAGAACCCCCTCTATTTTACAGGGCATGATGGGAAATGCAGCAGTGGAAAGCTGATTGAGGTTGAAGGGGCCGGTTTGTCATAGTACTGTGAGGAATTAATCATTGTGTGTTGTGGCCTCACATATAAAGACAGGAACTGTAAGGAACTTTAGTCTTTTTTTAATGTTCAGGTTCAGTTGTAACATAAGCTGGATCCTGTTAGAATGTAAAACCACGGTGTGTTAGACAGCTTGAAAAGCACTTTGAGTGTTCATCAAGACTAGAAAACTGCTTAATAAATACAGACCATTTACCATTTCAGCCTTCAGGCATCGCAGGACAGCAGTCCACTTGGCTATGACATCATTGGTCTACCAGTGGGGGAGAAAAAGAGCGAAACTTACATACCGTCTGTACAATAATCATGAGGCTGTTTAGCTGGTTAGCTTTGCCTATCATAAAGACAAAAGTCAGATGGGGTTGGAAAAGGAGGAGATGTGTGAGTGTGTGTGTGTGAACACATTTTCCTGCTTTTACGCAGTAGTAATAAGAAGAAATGCTTGCCCTTGTATCAACCTGTGCAACAATCTCTGCAAGTGTCCTGCCAACATTACCCTTTTTAGATTTGAAGATCTCAAGGAATCGTGGGGTATGGCGGTCCAAGGACTCAAAAAAGTCTTGCTCAAGATCTTTGCTTGCTACTCTTGTGAATTCTGAAAAAACCTTCAAAGACAAAACAGAACACAAACAGAATATTTTGTACCAGGTTAAGAAATTGCCACAATATCTTGGTGGATGTTTATTATGTATTTATTTAATATACTTGTTTGCTTACCTGTTGTTTTCTGAAAAGAGCTGGCCAGCGTTCCAACATCAGTTTCACAGGAGGCTGGTCTTCCACGGTTTCTTTTCGTTTCAATGAGAAGGTCTGGATAATCAGCTGATTCACATGCTTGTTTGTTTAACAAAGTCTGGAGCATTTTAAGGACAGATATGTAGACAACCGACTGCTTGTGTTCATCTGTAACAAACTCAACAGGTTCCACAATTTTAAATTCTTTTACCATGTAAGAGGCTCTTCTTGACGAAGTCCATAGCAAACCATCTTTCTGAGTGTGTTTCAGAATGACATTGCTCTCTGAGATTGCAGTTACTATTTCTAATTCTGCTCTAAACGCGCGTACACACACGCACGTGTGATTTGAATGTGTAATGCTAGATGCTAATATGATGTTGCCACTAAATTCGTGCATGTAGCTAACGTCACAGGCTCTCAGCATGGCCCTTTTAGCTAGCTAACCTGGCTAACGTTAGCTAACATTCGCATTAGCCCGCCAGGAGATTTAGCGATCACAATGCACAGAAAAATGCCCTGCTAAAGTTCAGTTGTGAATAATGAAATCAAAGCAAATGTAAATACTCAGTGACATTGGATAACTTACCTAGAGACTCAAAAAGCTTGCTTCTTCTTCCAAAAGTTTCAGTCCCCGCTGTTGCTGGAAAGTCCTGCTCTACTGCGCATGTGCAAAGCCACGCGCTGCGTTCACTCCAGTTTACTTCAGGAACACAAGTTCACTTTACTCACATGAGCTTAGTTTTATACTCCTTTCAGGCAAAACCTCTTTATATACAGTCTGTGGGCAAAACGAGTATAGAACTGACATGACATGAGTTCAATGAACGGGATAGTGAGAAATAAGTAAAGTACACAAATGTAATTTAAGTGAGCATAGGTATTACCTTTTAGAGAGGGGCTAGGGATGCATTATGTCAATGAGTGTTCAGGCCTATTCTTTGAATATAGTCAAGTAAGTAAAGTTCAGTGTGGGTTCAGTTAAATGTACGAGTGTATCAGTACTATCACCATCTGGCTCTATTAGCTTTTGAGTTTTCCATAGTTTGTGACTGCAAGTTGACTGCATGCAGCACTGGATATGACAATTTTATCGTTTTTAAGCTTTTTATATATTGTCTATTGTGCAAAGTGAAATTGGAAAACCTTGAGTTCATCCTAATTGTTTTTTCTGCATTAAGATAGTCAATGTTTTTCACAAAATGAGCTGAATTTGCTGTTTTACTGTACTGTGTTACCGTGTGGCTTGTATATAAGCATGAACGATTCACTGAACTTTCAGCTATTTAGAGGTCTGACACAATCTTCAGAACAAGGTTCACAACTCTTCGAAATTAAAGTTCTGTAGTTCAGATTCTATAATGTTGTTTGACCGTGTCAGTCTAGTAGAAGAAGTTTTCCCTTTTCGTCTCTTCCTCCACCCCACCATCACAAACACACACACACACACATACACACATACACTGACTTTTACAGAGCATTGGTCAACCTTATTTTCTTAATAATTAAAGCATTTCATGTCCAAGTCCCACCAAAAGAGATAGATATGATGATATTACACAACAGGAGAGTTTCATATTCATTCACTGTTTCTGTTGCTATCATTTTTCGAGTACAACTGCACAGACCTGACTGGAAGAGACTTTTACTTTCTTGAAACATGTTTGTTTCATATAATACTGTCTGGTTAAAACTGTCTTTTAAAGCCCCAAATGATCTGGCTAACCATTTAATCTCCCTATGTGACACAGGCCTCAAAATGTTCTCACTAAGTGTGTGTGGTTGCTATGGTTTCAACCCACTGGGTCAAAGGGTACCAGATTCCACACTGCCATCTTGAATCTATTTGTTTTGTCGTGTTCAAACACAGATTTGTGTCTCTAACAAGAAACAGATGAGCATCAGCTAATTCTTATCAAGGTTCTTAGAGATGAGGGTGGACAACTGTAACAACAAACACTGACTCAGGCCCTCAAAAGAGACAGTGAGTCACTTTCAGCTGCAGGTATAGTAAGAAGGGGTGGTGTAGGGATAAGTCAGACCTGCTAAGTGCAAATGATATGGAAAAACTTTACTATACATAAATGCAGGGAAAATTGTTTTAGTTTGCATTAAGTTCATGTCTTTGTAATTTGTTTTAATTTGTAATCATACACTCTGATCATTTACACATGCAAACACACACACACACACACACACACATTATACACTGCAGATTCCACTGACATACACACTTCATGAATATCCCACTTAAGTATATGTAATGGTTTGAACAAAAACCTAACAAAAATTGTGTAGGTTATTTTAAAAGTGGTTTCTATGCTTTTTTATTCTATGAACTATATTACTCGTACTTTATACTAGCCCCATTGTGTTGTTTGATACACATGGGTAAACTGTGTCTTGAAAATGCAGACCCCCAATTGGGATATATCTCTATGAATAAATGTGTTTGCATGTCTGCTGCAACTGTCTGTGTCAGTACTGAGGTATGATCAAAGCTTAAGAGTCTACAGCAAGGCAACTGGACAAATTTTGAGATGAATGCAAAATAAAAACGCTTTCTTGCTAACAATACATCATGCTTGATGGTTGTATTAGCCAGGTATGTTAGCTTTTACAAATGATCAGCCGACAAAAGTATAGCTTAGGCTGATGGGAATGTCATGGGCTCTGCAGGTTGATCTTAAGGGTTTGTTCTTAACTTCTTAAACTGTTGCTGTCATGTTCCTCGAATACTTGATAGAACTAAACTTAGAAACTCAGAAGTAAAACTTCCTTCAATGCATTTTTATTGTTCATCATCTAAATAATCAGAGCAGCTTAAATAGTCCCTGGACATCATTGTGCTTTCAAATAGAGATAAAGAAACAATAATATCTGTGTAATATATGCGACTGAAATTTTTCTGTTTAATAAACTCACCAGGACTTCCACGTAAAACACACTGGGTGGATCCAGGCTAGGGTTTGGCCAAGTCCAGACCGGTTGCCTGATGCCAAAAGTCTAGCGTGCGTTATCTGTGAAATCACTGCAGGGCTTATCTGCAGATATGTATTTCCCGCACTCCAGACTGTTTGTGTGTTTTGGTTCATGGTGGGTCAGCAGAACTGGTCAGGTTATGTAACCGTGTAAGTCAATGCTTTTGATTAATTCAAGTCTATTCATGAATGGTGTCTGTACATTCAGTCTGGCTCACCAGACCTCACCCACTTACTCACCCTAACCACATGCAGGTAACCACAGGCTAAACAGTTTTCCATTCAATGTCCCTTTTAACTCCTACTTCAAACACACTGAACTTTTCCAGCATGGATTTGCCCGATGGCATGAAAAGATTATGTAACAGTCAGTAACAGAGTTGTTTCTATTGTATGCTTGAAATGTGTCTATTTCATTAGGTATATCTAAATAATCTAAAGCAGTGGCACCAAAACAGTGCAGCAACCTTACAGTTGGTCTGAACACAACTATAGAAATCTTACAATGATAAAAACAAATAAATTAATAAGAATAATATTCTCTATCCTTCTGGAAATAATGATGTTTTTTACAGTTTGCTGAACATTGCTTGAGTTGTTATGGATGTTATGGATTATGGGTGTTTTATAAATAACGAAGACTTTATCTCAAGGTGTTCGTTTAACTGAATCCAGAGGCAGATACAGGATTCGAAAAGGTGACTGGTTAGCATGGGGAATGGTGGTAGCTGAGGCAGGGGGCAGGCAGGCAGATGAGCAGAGGGAGGGATGGAGATGATTGTAGTGGGGATAGAGCAGGCACAGTAGGTGGTGGTAATGCAGGCGACACCGGCAAAGAAGTCCTGGGCACAGCTGTATCCCAAATCACTCACTCATCATTATATATTACATTATATAGTATAGTATATTTAGTGATGTTTTTTATACTCTATATAGTGCTCTCATTGTTTCCCATAATGCATCATGAAAATAATGTATAACTGATGGTCACTAACCAATCAATATGTCATGAATTGCACAGAGAGGAGCGAGGGCAGGAATAGCTTGACCTGTTTTATAAATGCAACTGAGCAGATCAGCACATCACAGAGCAAACTTCCGTTAAGTTTATTTCTACATTTAAGGATTATCATTCAACATTTCTTAATATTAGAGAATTAATAACTAAGTATAAAATAATCATTCAAAATTTACTGTGGGATTTTCCATGGGCCATTGTTGTTGCTGTTGTACGTTATAATAAGACGACACTATATACACACTGTACAGTGAGTTATGAGTCATTTTCAATTCCCTGCCAAATTGTCTTGTGTTGTATTTTGCCAAGCTCTCCAGTATTTACACTTTTGCCTTCCTACGAAGTAAGTTTTGTTTTATTTCTTCATCTTACTTTACAGTAGTTTTACAGATTTTAAAAGCAGACATGTGTAAATGACAAAAAATAATTCAACTCTGTGTCTTTGAATATATCTGAAGTTAAGATGGGACAAGGTTTTTACCTGTTATATGTATATTTGTGTCTTTCAGTCACTTGGCAAAGTGCAGTTTGATGATGCTGCCCAAGGAAACGGGTGCAGTACCACCAAAATGCTGCAGGCCCTCCGCCAAGCCTTGTTGGACTCAAAGAGGAAGAGGGAGAAGGTGACTGAAAATTCTGCACTCAGAAAGCAGGCTGGAATGCTGCACTGGCTGCAGTTAACATTGGTCTGAAAAAGCATCTGGGTGTTGAGTACGATGCTCTGGCTAAAGAAAATGCTGCTTTGGCTAAAGAAATCTCTTCAATGATAGAGCAGCTGGTTGCTGAGCACACTGCACTGAAAGAGCAGGCAACAGAAAAGGTTGCACTAAAGACGGTGGCTGCTGAGAATGCAGCAATGAATGAGAGAAAGCTGCTCTGCAAAAGCATGCTGTAGAAAACTCTGCTCTAGCTGCTGTAAACATTGGTCTGAAGAGGCAGCTGGATGCTGAGAATACTGCTCTGAAGAAGGAGATAGACTCTACTGCCTTTCAGCTGGATCAGGCCAAAGATGACTCGGTCAAGATAATGTTGTCTGTGGAGACAGCAAGAGAGAGAGAGAAGAATTGGAGAGGGAGCTCAAAGATCTCAAGATGACAATGGAAGTGAAGGAGGACAAAATCATCTCCTTGAGAGCTGAAGTTCAGATCCAGCAGCTGGACAACGTGATAGTTGAGTCCGAGTGGATGATCAAATGAAGAGCTGCAGGAGAACTATGAGGAGAAGCTGAGGTGCAGGGTCCTTGAACAGGAGGTCAGCTTCCGGCAGAGAGAGGATCTGCAAAATCATGCTCCAGGGGCATCCTTCCTCAGTTCACAGCATCAAGGTGTTAAAACGAGGAAGTGATTTATTAAGTTCTAATTGTTGGTGTGGATGTCTCTCCGTCAGACAGGGGCTGAGGTTACTGACAGACTCTGCTGATTGCTAAGTTCTGTCAGTGAGCAAATCTACTGCAGACTGAAACCTCCCGCTGGGGGAAGGAATATTTTTGAAAAGTTGCAAAGTTGTTGCCACCACTCGGTGGGTTAGTGTTTGTTTTTTCACCTCCAGCAGGAAGATGATTAATGAGTTGGGGGAACAACAGAGGAGAGGGAGAGCGATAACATGAGCAGGGAGAAATAGTAGAAAGAGGTTGGACAGACTGAGATGAGAGCAGGCGGTTGTTGGCCTACTATA